AAAAAAAAAAAAAAAAAAAAAAAAAAAAAAAAAAAAAGGGGGGGGGGGATTAGTAGAATGAAAGCTACACTCCTGTGGAAAAGGGATGAATCAAAAGACACTTCAAAAATCAGGGACCAAGAACTTCTCATAGTTAGAAGCTCAGTCACTTCTGCCCACAGATCATTTCAGCACCTCCTGAGCATTGTGAGTAAAAATGGAGGCTGCCCCTCCATACCTTTGATCTTCTCAGCACTGTAGGAAAGTAGGAGGAGTTTCTTCTGTCTCCAAAGCTGTCTGAAACTGACAAGGCTCTGATCCCTTTGCTCTCTGACAAGCAGAAGGTCAGGCTCCTGTCATTTTCCATCTTCTCTAGGAGCAGCCGCTGCACAGGGCACACTCAGGCTGCTTTTAAAAGGGATAAAATGTGGAAGCCACAGACAGAAAGCAGCCGTGTGGGCAGGCAGAGCGGGGAAATACAGAGGAACAGAGATGAGAGGCGAGAGGAATGGAGGGTGACAGATATGGACAAGGTCCTTAATTAAAAATCTACAGCAGGGAGCAAGTCAGTCAAACAGAGAAGGAAGATAAATTATGCAAGAAGGGGAATGGAAGAAAACTCAGGGGAAGCAGGCAGTGGCAGGGGAAAGGAAAATGCCTGGGCAGAAAAAGAGGTAGAGGATAAGGCTAGCAACTGCTGGTTTTGGTCTAGTTGCCCATAGATGGTTGAAGGCCTTCCTGAGCCAGTAAGAATCCTCCTGGTTTGGCAAGACGGAAGCCGTTGCTCTTGGGAATCTGTGCATAACTTTAGGCTGAGGCTTACAGTGAATGGAAAGGAACCTAAAAGGCCATAGAGATTAATTGCGAAGCAATTGTTTAGGTAGGACTGGGGGAACCTGTATCTTTTCAGACACAGAATGACAATTCCCACTGTCCTCCCCATTGGCCATACAGGCTGCGGGTGCTGGGACTTCAGCAGCAGCTGAAGGCTTCCTATGAATCAGCATAATTGCAATTAACACAAGGATCTTGATCCGCTGTCATCCAGAGTCTTCCACTTCTTAACATACGTATTTTGTATCTGCAGTACTGTATAGCACCGAGGATTGACAAGCTGATCCCAGATTTCAGCTGGACAATCTGGGTCTGAGCAGGGGCATCCATGGTTGGGGAGGGGGGAATAAAAAAAATCAAGAAGCTGGCTACAACCATGCAGTTGAAACCCTGCCCCTTTTTAATATATGCCATATATGCAGTGCATACAAAACGTGGGGCAGAGATTCAATCGTGCTGTCGTAGATGCCACCTTGACTTCCCCCCCCCTTCCCCAGACGCATCTGTATTTGAGGCTGCAAGAAGCCCACAAACCCCTATTTGCAATTCCTAAACCTCTCTTACCTCACTACTGACCTTCACTGGTTTAGTTGCCATAAATCAACAGCACCATTTCCAGCCCCCCCCAAAAAAAAAGCACCGTAAAAGAATTGTGCCAGCCTGGGGGTTGGAAAAAAAAATCTCAGAATAACCCCAGTCAAAAGAAAACCAGGGAAAGCCCATGTACTGTAGTTCAATAACCCAATCAGTTGGCATTATCCCCGTCCTTTTCATGTGTCCTCCCCGTAACTATGGCTCATGGCTGTCAAAATATTGTCCACATCCGTTCTGATTAACACAGCATTTCCTCAACAAGCAGTGCAAGATAGAACAGAAGGGATCTAACTCAGCTTAGATCCCTGCTAAAGCATGTGCGTCTACTGACAGACTCCTGATACTTCTTTGTGCAAATGACTTGCTACTTCCAAGAGAGCCACCAACCCCACAAGTTATTCTCAGCTTGCAATCCTGAAAGGAAACCCTCTAAGTAGCAAAACATTCCTCTGCTGGTTATTAAACACCTGTTCTTGCTACATGCCAGTTTCTGCTCATTGAGAACCAGTTGTGGGAAGCCTATCACCTGATGTGGCCACTAGAGAGAGAAAAGCATGTTCAGAACCTCTGGCACCAAAGCCTGCATTACATGCTACTATGTGTTTCTGTTTAACAGCACTGACTCTAAGTGGCATACAAATTCAAAACAAATACTATAACTAAAAAGGAATGAAAGTAAATAGAATAAGCCCACTCAGAACAGGGAGAAACAAGATACTCTAGACAAAACTAAGACTGTATTCCTGCAGACTGCCTAAGACATGGGCACCTCACCAACCTATACCAGAGCCTGGAGGGAAAAGAGGTTTTCAAATATCAATTCTAGGCCTACAGGATCAGGGCAGTCTGAGCCTCCAGGAGATGTTATTCCATAGGGCAGGAACCACAATAGTGAACGCTTCCTATCAGATGATATTGCTTAATGGATGGGGCCCAAAACACATCTCCTCTGTTGGATTTAAAGGGGCGGGCAGTAATGATGGAAGAGAGGTGGCCCCTCAGATTGCCAGGCCCTATGCCGTGAAGGGGTTTACAGGTGATAACCAGCACCTTGAATTGGACACAGAACCTCATTGTTGACCAGTGCAGCTCACATAGCAGAGGTGTTACATAAGCATACCAAGGTACGTGCATAATTGCTTGCATTGCTGCATTCTGGACCAGCTGAGGCTTCTGAGTGGCCTTGAAAGCAGCCCCATGTAGAGCACATAGCAATAATTCACACTTAAGGTGACCAGAGCATGAATTACCATGAGAAGGCACTCCTGGTCCAGGAAAGGGTGCAATTGTCTGGATGAATCTATGCAAAGGCCTCTGGCACCTGTGGTCCCCAAATTGTGTATCAATTCTGTATAGAGAACTAAAGATGGAAAATCACCAGGACCAGACTATGCATCCATAGCTACTCAGTCTTATCAGGGTTGAGTCTGAGCCTGTTCCTCCTTGTCCAGACCTGAACAGCCTCCAGGCACTGAAACATGACCTCAGTGGCATAACTTGGTTGACTAGAGGTCAAGTCTTTAAGCAATAAAGGTTTTGCTTAGTGGTAATCTGGATATCATCACTGTACTAATGATTCCTGACCCCGTGTTAATCAATAACCTCCCCTAGCAGTTTCATTAAACAGAAGCGATGAAGTCCTTAGCCCTGTGGTGCCCTACAAACCTCTTCCCTGTCCACATGATCCTCTTAGTCCCCACTCCCACCCTCTTACTACCTCTATTCCTTGTGGGTGAATTGTTCCTTTCTTCAAAGGATAGTAATGCCATTTCACATTAATCCTTATTCTGGCCAGGATGGAAACCAAGAGGTAAAAGAGCATTGCAGAAAGAGACAGAGAGAAAACGAGTGGTCGGCTACTTTTGGATTTAATTCTACTGAGTGCTAGCATGCAGCCACAAAGACTTGGTGTCCTACAGTATTAGGACTACAATTCCCAGAATTCCCAGTGTAGCAATCTACAAGAGTTCTCCCTCTTGGATTTCCACAATTTGGATTCCAGATCCTGGAGATTATTATGCAAAGGGCAGGTTCTGTCTCCAAGACATGGCCCTCAGTGCATGGCTATTTTCATAATGGAGATAGTTGAGAATAGGGACAAGGGCAGAGGGTGGATGAGCTAAAACCAAAAGGGGAGAATCATTCCTTCTCTCTCATCCTCAAAATCCCCTTGTTTCCACACACATACAGAGAGAGTTTCCTGCCTTTATTGTCTGTGACTGTACCATTTTCTTCATACTCTAAAACTTACCCATTCATACCACTCAAGAGAAAAATCTGAATATCAAAAGAGAAAGAGAAAGAAAAAACTAGCAACCTATTTCCTAACAATTTTTTCCTATCAAGAGCATCAATTAACCATTTGGCTATTAACCATCCCAAGAACAAACAGGCAGCCAGTCCTAAAATCATGCTCCTTCCTACACATTCACTTTTCCTTGAACGGGCATTTGATCCACCTGGAAGTTTAAATCATGAAAAGGTTTATGAAGATTTAATTAATCACTTCTAATGCTGCATTGAATTGTAATGTTTTCACCAAATTTATCTGTCATTATTTGAGACATGCAATAAGAACCTAACTTGGCCAAACTTCTTAGGTCCTAAGACCCCTCTTCAAAGTCACATGCCTGGGACATCTCTCAGAGCTCATGTCCTCTCCCATTCTTTGTATAAT